TATCTGGTTTGGATTCCAATTGTCCCAACATTTATGCAACACCACTTTGTAAGGGAAGATTATATTATACATATATATACATATATATATATATATATTAAAGATTATGATTTAAAGTTGGAGCCCTATTTTTAGTAGTGGCAAAGCATTATTATTATTATTTTATTTTTTTAATTTCCATATGCATATTTTTTTTAGTATCATAAAAGGGTCGTTTATCACGAGAGTCGAAAATCCTTTTGATAGCAAAAATTTAACGTTTCATACCTAAAATTCGAATCACGGTTCAAAATTCAAATTCAGTACTTGTATGCCCTAAGGTTAGAGTTTTCACGGATCTCCCTATTACTAGAAAACCTACTGAAGTCGAGTATGGGAAGAGGAAAAGAAAATCATACTGGTTGGTTGCTTGCTCGTGTGCACCCCTTACAAGTTTAACGTCTCATGTCTAAAATTCGAATCACAGTTCAAAATTCAAATTCAGTACTTGTATGCCCTAAGGTTAGAGTTTTCACAGATCTCCCTATTACTAGGAAACCTACTGAAGTCGAGTATGGGAAGAGGAAAAGAAAATCATACTGGTTGGTTGCTTGCTCGTGTGCACCCCTTACAACATTGAATAATGTCACCACAGATCAATATAGGTTCTTTTAACATGATTTGTTATCACTCACATGTATCCCAAGAAAATTCTCAGAGGTCACTTGTTGGGTAGGGAATAGCTTTTAATTATTTTAAGCATTCTTCAGTTAGTCTATCATTAAGATCACTCTCATTTAAATATGATATCGATTCATTCATGTACTCTTCATTTTAACTTTTATGAGTGTTTCAAAAACGTCTTTAAACTTTTTTTTTTTTAAAAAAAATCAAGAACTCATTAGTACTACATTAAAAAAATAACATTAAAATATTTTTAAATAATATATGAGATATCGATAAATGGTTTTTGATCGAGATTCAGATAGAAACGTCGTCAGAGTTCAATGTACGGAGTGTTAGATGAACACGACTCTCTACAATAGTATGATATTATTCACTTTGAGCATTAGCTCTCATGGTTTTGTTTTGGACTTTCTCGTAAGGCCTCATACCAATGGAGATAGTATTTCTAAATTATGAACCCATGATCATTCCATAAATTATCATGCGTGGGACTTTTCTTTTCATCCGAACACCGAGAAGAGAGAAACGAAAGAAAAACGTGGAAATTCGGGCTAAGAAGGTAAGGTTCGGCGGATCAGGATCCAGGTCGGACACAACCCGCAGCCCAACTCGCAGAGCATCCGAGACCCAACCCATTTATTCCTCGGGCCAAACCCCATGTCTACAGCAGCCTGCACACGTGTGTCTGCAGCCCGAGTAACACCCAAGTACCAAGGCCCAAACCGTTACGGCCCAAAACCAAGATCAGCCCAGCAGCCTGTGACCTGCGTACCCGAACGCGACCTGCACACCCGCGCGCGATTTACGCCTTGACCCAAAGTCGTATGTACACGCGTCAGCCTATTATTGTGCCATGTGGCACACCTGCAACGAATGACTCCCTCGGCTTGGCTCGGCGGCTAAAAAATCGCTCATTTGGCTCGCTAATTTGACCTTGTTTAAGGCAAATAAGGTGAGTAGAGAGGTAAATTTCTCAATTTAGGTTTAATTGAGTTAAGAATTATTAGATAACTAACGAAATGAGAAATGAGATGGACATTCTAATAGAAAACAATAACCAGCGGTAATTTGGAGCAATTTCGTGGAACGGGAGCGAAAATACTCGAATTAGGGAGAACGTCGGCTAAGGTCAACCAACTCAGTGACCCTACCATTGTTTGATTTTAATTGTATGTTGTATGACGACACATGCTCGTTGCTTTGCACGTGTCGTAGGCCTGTATATGCAAACTATTATGAAATGATATGTATATGCTATAATATGTGATTGTTGTGTTGTATTTGATGAATTGATATGTTTATGATACTATATGTTATGATATGATCTGATATGTTGAAGACATACACAGATTATGTATGTGATTATTATGACATATGATATCATATGCGTACGATATGGATTGTTATGTTTTAAAGCATAAAAATATTATGATATGATATATGTGAGATATGAACGATATGATATGATTGACATGCAAAATGATGAACTAACATGAAATACAACCCCGAAATACACATGAAAGTTATGATAAATGGTATGACAAACGTTATGAGAAATGATAAGAAAAATGTTATGATAGGAAGAAAAAGCTAGCAGGGTTGTATTAAATGTTAATAAAAAAAAATGTTGAAACCTTCTGCATTATTGTGTGCGAGCATAGTGGGATACCCTATTCCTTCATGATAGTACGAAAACATCGCTACAAGGTAGATGAACGATCATTATGTTTACCATAATGTTGTCATAACTGTCGCTACTTCTAATGGGTGTTCGACATCAACAGCTACCAGAGAATGTTTGCCCGACTAGAAAGAGGCCTAGGAGGTGTGTCAACCAACTGGTGGGTTCATACTCGTACGTGTGGACCGTGTGTAGGAAAATTAAGTACGCATCCAAGTTGCCTATTAGGATAGTCGTCGTAGGAAAATAGACTGTTATGATAGGTCTCATGCATGTAACTGTATGTGTTTGCATTTAACCCCGATAGAGGGGTTTCTTATTGAGTATTTCTTAAAATACTCAAGCCATATGCTCAAATAAAGAAAAGACTCCCCTAGACAGCTAACAGTGGCATTGCAACTACGAGACGTGACACATACTTATGATAGTTTCGTAATTTAAATTTGGTAGACTATAGGTTAGTTGCATTTCCATTTAGTAGCATATAGGTTAGTATAGAACATTTCCCTTTGTATTGTTTTTTTCATTTTTTATTTCAATTGGTTCATAAATCTTAGATGAAACATGCAAGACCAAGGTTAACTTTTATTATAAAGTTTCAAATGAATTAATTATGTATTAAATGTTCATGATATGTATACAGTAGTGTCCTTAGGTTAAGTAGAAAATTTAGAGTCGTTATATATACGATCAGTAAGTAGCTTATAGGGATCACTTCCTGTGAGTTCTATGACAATGTGGGGAATAGTAGTCAAGTAAGTAGCTTCTTCTAATGAACCTAACCTATCACAGGAATAAGAGTCTACAACCATCCATAGTCGTCCTTCAAGAAATGGAGTAGTAGGGTCGTGCCTTGAGACACAGTGTACCATAGAGAGACTTCATGTGATTATGATCTAGGGATCTCCAACTATTCCTTAAGAGTGAGAAACCATATGACGGTAATAGTTTGACAGGCACAAGACCCGTCCCCTCTTAGTTGAGACGACATTACATGGTCTATTAAAGAGGCGTCAGCTAAATCCTTGCAGAGGACCAATATTGAGCAATATTTCTCATGCTCTAGCAGTTTAGTAGTTGGAAATAATTAAAGGTCACACCTCACATATACTTAGACGTTTGAGCGAGGGACATGGGCAATGACATTTTAATTGGTTAACCTAAATAAGCCCAAAGTCCAGAAAGAACCCCATAAGGGTTTGGAAATGCTCCAAGGAAGCCGAGTACTACACATCATGAGCTGATGAGAGCTTAAATAGAGCAAGTACGAATGAAGAGTTAGGGTCTAAGGCAAATAAGACTGTAAGAACCTAATGTTATTTGATTGGAAAGCTAGAGTCTACATGCTGACTAAGTATTTTATGTTCACTCATGCGACTTTTCCATTTTTGATGGTTCGTGAGGTAGTTATCTCTAGTGGAAGAGCTCAAAAGTTGTGCGATTGCTACAAAACCGTTAATCTATGTCATTTTGAGTTTATGACCTTTTGATGTGATTTTGCATATTATGTTTTATTTTACCTAGAATTGGTATGAGTTAACTTCTTATCTAGTGGTCCCTAAAAATGAAAAAAAAAAAATTATCGAGACATTTAGACCTAGTTCGTGCTTGATGGTCCATAATTCGAAGCCTCAAAGAGCGGATCGTTACACATGCTAACAATAAGTTTACTTACCGTTTAAGCTAAACTAGATATTCCTATACACTTCTTAGCCGGTGGTCGAATGATTCTGCTTTGACGTGGTCCAACTTCATCTATGTCGTTCCATGCATGCACAATATCAAATTTAGATTCTTTTCATGAAACTAATATCAAAACAACTCTAAACATTTATAATTTTGACCTTAATTTGGCCGTAAAACATTGAAGTAGAAGGCTTTCCATATTATAATAGGGGTTTGGTGTCCAATTATGTAGAGTTGTGTTAATTACTTTAGTTAGTGCTCTCCCCCTCATTTCCCATTCATTCAAAGTGCCTTTCAATTCTTCCTTTTTTTTTTTAATCTAATCTTTCTTCCTTTATATATATATTCTCTTAATATTTTTTTGTTTCTTTTTCAACTATGGGATTCCACCTCGATTAGACAGAGGATGACACATTTATTATAAGGGTGTGAAAACTTATTCCTAACAAATACGCTTTAAAATCACGAGGCTGATGACAATATATAACGAGCCAAAACAGACAATATCTACTAAAAGTGGGCTTGGACTGTTACAAATGGTATAAGAGCCAGACATCGAGACGTTGAGCTTGGACTGTTACAAATGGTATAAGAACCAGACATCGAGACGTTGAGCCTTGAAAGAGAGTAAATTGTGAGATCCCACCTCTATTAGAGAGAAGAACAAAATATTCCTTATAACGGTCGGTATGTCCTGTTATAACAACTTGCCAAGTTTGATTTCATAAGAAATTGCAAGAAATGGTCCAAACCAAACACCATCTTAGAGATCATTCTAATTTAATACATGAATTCATGAAGTGGGTGAGATTATCATTGCCCAATTATTTTGTTTTGTATTAGAATCATATTACTTAAAGCATTATCATTAAAATATTATTTAATATGAATGAAAATTGGAGTAATGTTAGAATTTGTTTTTCATTCATCAAAAAAGGAATTTTTTTAAAAAATATACACAAATTCATCAAACTCTAAAACTTCGCTTAATTCATATTATCATCCATTACAGCCATAAATTCCGTACCCGAGCTTCGGGATCCAGCGGTGCTAAGTTAATGGCCGGAGGAGGAGGAGACGTCGGACCGCCGACCCCGGCGATTTTCTGAGAAGTTTGGACTAAACACTGGCGACATTTAGGGCAAGAGGAGTGAGAACTCAACCATTTATCAATACACTTAACATGGAAGCCATGGTTGCACTTGGGGAGAAGCCGAAGCTTCTCGCCGTCGACGAAGTCCGACAAGCAAATAACGCACTCGGAGTCGAGCCCGGGGAGGTTGAGATCTGGGGTGAATTGAACCATAGTGAAGCTCTTGATGGCTTTCTTGTGGACTCCGATGGGGGCGGAGGTGTTGGAGGAGGGGTGAGGGTCATCGGAGACGACAAAACGAGAGCATTTCAAAGCGCATCTGATGATGGAGTTGAGGCCTAATGAGCAAATTAAGGCACAGAGGAGGACGGAGAGGACCATGACGACATTGGTATCGAAGGTGTAGGATTCGAGTGGGCGATGGAGGACGGAGGAGGGAGCGTCGGCGGTGAAGGAGAGCGTGCGGAGGGAGGAGTGAAGGAGGAGCTTTCTTGAATAATAGAACACTTGATCTCCATGGTGAATGAGCTGATGAGGTGAAGAAATGGAAGCAGCCGACATGTTTTATGTGTGTGTTTTTTTAAGGATTTTGAATGTTTGATGTTTGAGAGAGTGAAGAAGAGGTATTTATAGGGATAATGGATTTGCTTTATATGAACTTTGCTGCTTAATTGGTTGATCCTTTGGAGAACTCCAAGATCTCTTAGCTTATCCACCTTGGAATCCCACAATCAATTCAATTTGGATTTATTTATGAACTCTTAAAATGTATTAAAATTCTCGTTAGGACGTACTATACGTATCTTGAAGTTCTTGTTTGTCGTTGTTGACTAATTTGATCAATAAATTTAGGTTACGATAATCTCTAAGTGATTCTTAAACAAAAAATATTAGACTTTTCAAATCGTAGATGATGAAACCTCCGTATACTATGCTAAAACCTAGTGTTGAACATCAACTTATCACTTAATGAAGGAGTGTGGACTATATGATTAATTTCATCGATGAAATTAAGTTATGACAACCTTTGAGTGATTCTTAGATTAGGGGAGATGACCTGAGAACCCCATCAATCCGGACTATCTGACCTAGCCCAAGGTTTAGGGTTTAGGGTTGGTTCGTGGGTTGACTTTTTTTTTTGTTAAGTCAACCTAACCAACCTGAAACTAGCGTTACAACACAACTCAACTCTACCCTTCTTTTAAGATTATTGTGAAAATTAAGAATATTTGACATTTGTAATCGATGTTAGTGATGTGTTGTATCTTCTGCATGTGTGATATTTGATATTTATGAGATTATTATGGATAAATAATTTTTTAAAATAATTTAAAAAATAACCTGGGTTAGGTTAGCTTAGGATGGATTGTTACTCTCTCTTCACGTTGCTCGGGTCACCTACCTAACGAACCTAAAATTTTGAGTTTATCCAAAAGCTTTATCCCCAACTCAACCCAACCCGTATACACCCTATTTTAGACATAGAAATTTAAATCTTCTTATAACACGCTAGAAACTAAGGTTGCACATTGTTAGACGAACACGACTCTCCACAATGGTATGATATTGTCCACTTTGAGCATAAGCTCTCATGACTTTGCTTTGGGCTTCCCCAAAAGGCCTTACACCAATGGAGAATATATTCTTAGATTATAAACTCATGACCATTCCCTAACTTAACCAATATGGGACACTTTCATCTAACACACATTAGTTAATCACTCGACAAACGAGCGTGGATTACACATTGTTGAATAAGATATTAAGATATATATATATATATATATATATATATATATTTTACTTAGAAAACTATATTTATTGATATATAATGGTACATAATTACATACAACATATAATTAAAATTATAGGTATACGTGTATTTTACACGCACGATATAAAAGTACGGGAAGGAAGAAATAGGGAGAGATTTATTAATTTAAATGAATTAATGAAAATGGGTAATTAATTAATTGAATTAAATTAAAGAAATGGTGACGTGGAGGGTTTTGGAAGAGATAGGGTTTGTAAACAATCTATATGGATCCTCCACTGAAAAGGCTTTAAATGGGCTTTCAAATCAAGATGGGCCCACCTACTTTTTGTGGGGCCCACACTAGTACGAAGCTTCCTTTCATAATCCGCAATCCCTCCAACCTCCAACAAATATTAATAATCATTTATTTATTTAAATGTACTCGGGTGAAAGATGGGTATATGAATTAACTGATACTACATCCAAATCTTATTCTTCTTCTTGCCTTGCATTCTGTTCCGGTTCAGGTTCAGTTCAGGAGAGGAGGACGTTGATCGAGCTTTTCCATGCCTAGTCCCAGTTTCGGTTAAAGACCCAGAGCGGGCTACAGATCTATACCAAGCCCGTTACGCCATAATTCATTGAGGTTGATCCCGAAGTGACGTTCGAAACCGTAGCAGTAGTCTGTCTCTATTTATTCACAGAATGAACGAGAGTTTCACGGGATTGAATTAACACGTCTCGACCAGAAATTGTCTTTAACGATAGTATGACTAAGAAAGATTTAAAAGAAATGAAAGTTATTACGTATACCAATAAGGTGAACGTTCTATTTTGGTAGCTTAATTATAAGAATTCTATAGTTAACGTGTTTTGCTTGGAACAATTTTATGTTGGTTGACCTCATAAACTTTTTCCTAAGATGTATGTGAACGACGACAAAACATGCTAGAATCTTTTCTCTTAGAAGCCTAAGAACTTTATAATTAAGTATGGTTTGAATTAGAAATTTTCCTACTTGCTGGAATAACTCGTGTTAGTCTGTGGGGATAGTTTTTGTTCTTGGAAGCACAAAGACTAAAGAACGTGATCATGTCGTAGGGGATGTGCAACAGCCCAAGTCCACTGCTAGTAGATAGGTTTCCCCTCAAGGCTTTAAAACATGTCTGCTAGAGAGAGATTTCCACACACTTATAAAGAATGTTTCGTTCCCTTATTCAACTGTTGTAGGGATCTCATAATACACCCTTATTCAACTGACTCTGATACTATTTGTAACAACCCAGTTTTACCGCCAGTAGATATTGTCTTTTTTGGACTTTTCCTTCTAGGCTTCCACTCAAGGTTTTAAAATGCGTCTTGTGAGGAGGTTTTCACACTTTTATAAGGAATGTTTCGTTCTTCTCTCTATTTGATATATGATCTCAGAAAATACAAGAGAATGTAAGGATCATTAATGGTCGAATTCGTGCCAAATTTTAAAAATTAGGTTTGTTTTCTAAAAATGATTAATTTTTAGTTTACTTATTTTCCATTAATTTTGATTTTTCTTAAAATCTTAGAGAATTAAATGAGAATAATAAATTGCTCACTAATTTCAACGAAATTTTGTTGTTAATTTAAACCAAAAATTAATTTGAAGGTAAACCAATGGAAGAAGCAAAGAAAATATTAACCACATAAATTACATTATTAGATCTCCTAATCTTTTAATTATTTAGATTATCTCCACGTGTCATTTTTACATTGGTTGTTTTTTGTTGAGTCATCCCTATACTCATCCAATCACATATTATTAAATTATTTATTTTAATGGATTTGTCTTCCCAAATTAATCTCTCATTTCTAACTAATCATTTAATAAAGCTTTTGTTACATAATTTATTTATTTTTTATTTATTTCCAATTCTCAATTCATTTTTGTAATTTTTGTCTTAAGTAACGTTAGACCACTCGTTTGATAACGACACCACCGATAGATAACCTTCGATCTAACGTGATTGTGTTCCATGATCTCCTTATCTAGCATGGCCAACTGTACTTGGAGCGGTTGACTTTACTTGAAAAAATGGATATAAGATGAGTATCATGCATCATGGTTCATGAATGGTAGAACCTACGGTTTATGACGGTTCCTTGGCTCTACTTTCTTTACTAGGTAGAGTACTTCTTTACCCACGATTCACATGAGCGCACATGAATCCACTAAGTGGACTCGTATACTTACCCCTGACTTGACTATAGGCTAGCAAATGCTTACGTTGTTGAAAAGTAATAGAAAATAAATGGGATGAACCATGCCTAGGATTTGGAATGCGGATTTGGCACTTGATGACCATGACGTTTTCCTGCAACATGGTCATATTACCTACTACTCGTGTCTTAAATATGAAAACTATCTTCATAAACTAACATGAGTTCTTCTAACATGCTTTGTTCTCACTCACATGCATTCCACGAAAAAACTTAAGAGGTCACCCAATATATAATTGTTCAAAGCAAAATATGCTTAACTATGAAATTTTTATGATTGAGCTACTGAAAAAAGGAAGACATACTTTTTTGGTATAACCAGTAACTTTCAATTCTTTCAAGTCTTTCTTAGCTATCTTATCCTTAAAGTCTCTTTTATTTGAATGTGATCTCGATTCAATCATGCATCCCTCCTTTACTTGGTCCTCACAAAAAAGGAGCTGTAATAACCAAAAAAATTATAAAATGTAATCTCAGTTCGTTCATGTTCGTCTTTATGTTATGCATGCCATTTCCTTCCCTAGTGTTTGCAAGAGCCCGTTAGCAAGTGTTAACTTGACTAGCCAGGTCAGGGGTGTATGAGCATGACTGGGCCCATGCTCAAATGTGTGGGTCATGTGTAGAGAAGTAATACGCGTCTTGCCTTGCCCATACTAGAAAGCTGCCTAAGGCCATGACATGATGTTTTTAAAAGATAGGTTCCACTATGTTGTATGTGTTTCCATTTTTTGATCCACGTGCCACCTTTATTTTTCAGGTAACGGTAAGGCACTCTGGTATGGATAACGGTGTCATAATGAAGGCCATGAGACTAGATCTCAGTTCTCTCTGTAACGACTCGAAATTTTCTACTCAATTTAAGGTTGCCACTGTATACCTATCATGAACATTGAATGCGGAAATACTTCATTTAACTTTTTTTAAACATCACTTTCATCTTAAAACATAGTCATGGACTTACTTGTTTTGAAAATACCTTTAAAAACCACATAACAAAAGACTAAATAAAATAAATAAATGTTTAAATTAAAAACATCGTATTCTAGCCTAAGGCTAAGAAAAATAGATGTGACTACCTTATGCATGTGTTATGGTCTCGAGTTGCGATGTTGTCGTTAGTCGTACAAGAATGTCTTGCCTTAACCTGAAATAGATGTAACACCTAACTTGAGTATTTAAAGAAATATTCAGTAACTGACCTCACTATTGGGGTTAAATACAAGAACATGCGAATACAATGATGGGACTTATCATAATAGTTTGTTTTCCTACGATGCTATCATAACAGGTAGCTTGAATGTGTACTTTATACTCTACACACGGTCCACGTGCGAGTATGGAACCACCAGACGGCTCGCACACCGCTAGGCACCTTTCCTTATTAGGTGAGCATGCTCTAGTAGCTCTCTATGCCAGGCACCTATTGGAAGTAGTACCCGTCACAGCAGTATTATGCAAACATAATGATCGTTCTCCTGCCTAGTAGTGTACACGTTTGCACCATCGTGAAGGAATATGAGTATACCCCAATGCATGAACACACAATAATGCATGAGGTCCCAATATTTTCCCATTTTCATTATTGTTTAATACAACCCCGCTAGTGTTCCGTCATATCTCATCGTTTTTCATATCAATTCTCATATCGTTACATATCATTTATCATATCTTTCATGCATATGTCGGGGTTGTATTTCATGCTAGTTTATCGTTTTGCTTGTCAATCATATCATATCATTCATATTACATAAATATGTCATATCATAACGTTCCATGCTTCCAGATATAACAATTTTCATAATATATATATCACACCGTAACATATCGCATCAAAATATATCATATCATAAACATGTCAATTTATCACATATCTCGTACCATAACATATTTCATATTATTTTCGTATCATATCATAATATATATATATTCGTCATTCACATGTTGTATCATAATCATAACATTTCGTAAACACTTCGCAGTCATATTGGTTCTATATGCATGTCCTAGCCATATTGTTTCCTAAACTTGTCACAGTTTTATCGTCCTTATACATCTCATAGTCGTATCATTTCATGAACATACCTTAGTCATATCATTTCCACATGCATATCATAGCCATATCGATTCCTAAACTTATATTAGTCTTATCGTCCTTACACATCTCAAAGTCATATTATTTCATGAACATATTTTAGTCATATCATATCCCATCATATCCTAAATCATATCGTTTCATGAATGTATCCTTGTCTTATCGTTGCAGGAACGTATCTTAATCATATCGTTTATCAATCTATCATAATCATATCCTCGTAGTCATATCGTTTCCTTATGCATATCCTTAGACCTATCGTTATAGTACGTTTATTGTATCATTCTTGTATCCTATCTCAAACATATCATTGAGCACATCGTACCGTAAGTATCATCATACAATTCACATATCATGACTTACACACATCATATCATAATCATATCGATTCATAAAAACTCACACATATCAATATATACGACACGTACAGACCCATGAGACATGTGTCAACATCAAATAGAACCATGCCGATAGTAAGACCATTTGATTTGCTTATGCTCGTGTCACCAATTTGTCCTTAATAGAAATTCAATTTTGTCCTTTCCATCCAAGTCAACCTATGTCAACCCATGACATCAATTTTAAGTTCAATTCTCTATATTTTATAATGCTGAGTGTCACACACATACACACCAAAGATCTCATTTTCTATTATTACTAATGTTTTTTAGATTATATAGTTACCGTTATATAAAAGAATTTGATGAATTTATTTTATGTTACAGTATTCTCTACTTTCTAAACCTGTCATATTTCAAAATTCAGTTCCTTCTTCGTGGCATATCCCGTAATTCTTATTCTTAGAAATAAATTTGTGTTTGACTACACATCAATATTTTTTTTACGGTTGTTACACTCTCTCTTCCTAAGAGCTTCCAATGACGCTCTCCGTCGTCCTTCTTGCGCCAAACCTTGTCGTCTCACTTTCGGTGTACATCTCCTTCAC